GCACTGCTACAGTGCGCCGCTTGGGAGTGCGGTGGCGCTCCCGCCGAGGGTTCGGATCCCACATACAGACCAGCCGCTCACTGGCTGAGCGAGGTGCGGAAGCAACACCGAGGGTTGCGATCCCGTTGCCGGTCCCGGTCCGGTACGGGCGTGACACTGAGGGTTGCAATCCATTGCCGGTCACGAAAAAAGACAAAAAGGAAAAAAAAAAGTTCCTACACCTTAGCTTTTAATTAGCAAACCATGTTGATACATGTTAAATTGATGCAATTTTCAGTAGTAGATGTAAGTACATTTGGACATAAAGGTAGTAAAACTCTTTTTTTCTGGCTTTCCCAGGGTCAGTCAGATGTTCTACGTTATTCTGAGTAGTAGCTTTTAGTGTAATTGGATGAGGACATGGGTTTTAGTTACACTTGCCCTTTCAAGGCACTGTTAGAAAGAGACTAACAGCAATGCAGGTAATTGTCCTTACATTAACTAAGGGGTTGTTTGTATATGGACAGAGTTTCGTGTCTGCTGTCCTTGTGAAGTGTAGCAAAGGTAGAGGGACTTTCAACCCATTGGAGCCCTGGCATTGAGACCGTTGAGTCAGAGTTATGCTCAATTCTCCCCACAGAGGTCTCCCTCTGCCTGTTTTCTGACTTGGAGCCGGGCCCCTAACCCAGGGCAGAAACTCCTGCTGAAATGGACAGCTCAAATGGCTTAATGTAAATTGGAGCATGTGTCATTAAGACTAGCATGCCAGATGGCTGAGGGTTCAGCTGCCTGCTAGGATGAGTGGAGCCAGAAAAATGAAAGTGGGGGGAGGGTAAGGGAATGGATACAACTTGTGTTATTTTTAAAGCACTTGTAGAAATACAGAGCATTGGCCAGCTTCCTCCTTATCCCAGTAGTATTTTTTTCCTTCAACTTGACCCTCCTCCCTGGGGCTTACATTGGGGGAAAATATCAGTGTTCTTTATTAGTTGCCCTAGCAACCATGGAAAGCCTGGGAGAGTGATTGTAAGCCAGGCTTGAAGGTTTGTTCCCTTCTTGGTGTCTGCAGAGGCTAAGAACCATTCTGATCTGTATAAGGAACCTGAGTTCTGAAGCTCCTGGAGTACCTCCAGCTTATGGTCCGAGGAGGGGGGAATTCATGAATTAAAAATAATATAAAATTGGCTTTGCCTTTTTTTATTTTTTTGAGGAATAAAACACTCATGGGTCACACTTTGATAGTGGGAATGTGTCATGAATGAAAAAGAATGAACAAGTCAAAAACAATTGGCTCTTTCTGATTTAGAGAGGAAAGTAAATAAAACATGCTTCCACCATGTGTGATAAATGCTGACCAGTTCATTTTATCTTCATCCCTAAGCCAGGCCTGCCCAGTGACCTCTGAACTGGAAAGAGCTAAGAAAAGGAAGTTGATCCTTTCTTTTTTTTTTTAAAAAAAGATGACCGGGAAGGGGATCTTAACCCTTGACTTGGTGTTTTCAGGACCGCGCTCAGCCAGTGAGCGAACCGGCCATCCCTATGTGGGATCCGAACCCGGGGCCTTGGTGTTATTAGCACCGCACTCTACCGAGTGAGCCACGGGCCGGCCCGGAAGTTGATCCTTTCTTTTTTTTTTTAAAAAAAGATGACCGGGAAGGGGATCTTAACCCTTGACTTGGTGTTTTCAGGACCGCGCTCAGCCAGTGAGCGAACCGGCCATCCCTATGTGGGATCCGAACCCGGGGCCTTGGTGTTATTAGCACCGCACTCTACCGAGTGAGCCACGGGCCGGCCCGGAAGTTGATCCTTTCTTTTTTTTTTTAAAAAAAGATGACCGGGAAGGGGATCTTAACCCTTGACTTGGTGTTTTCAGGACCGCGCTCAGCCAGTGAGCGAACCGGCCATCCCTATGTGGGATCCGAACCCGGGGCCTTGGTGTTATTAGCACCGCACTCTACCGAGTGAGCCACGGGCCGGCCCGGAAGTTGATCCTTTCTGAAGACGTATCTTGTTATATGTGTTTGTCAGAAGCTGCTCTGTGGAGAGGGGTTGCTTCCTGGAAGACTTATATAATTTAGAACAGTGACAGCCAGATTGCCAAAATGGTGTCTTCCCCCCTTTCCCCTTTGATCCCGGTTTTAGAGGCTAAAGTTTCTCACCTTTAATGTTCATATCTTTAATTAATCATTTCCACCCCCACCCCACTTCTTTATTCCAGTGAGCTTGTACTGCAGCCCTTTGAACTTAATAAAGGAGAAAAATCATAATTTGCGAGTAAATCAACTTAATTTGATTTCAGATCTCTGGAAGCTTGGAAGCTTGTGATATGTGAATACTTGTGTTTTTCTTCTTTAGGGGCTGAACTTGAGTGAGGCTGTGTTTAGTTTGTCTCACCTTCAGACAGGTTAAAACTGGAAAGACTGATGGGCCTTCCTTCAAAAATACTTCCTTTTTTCCCTCAGAGTTCTCTTGTTTTGTGTGATACATTAATTCATTTTTTTTTTTTTTTTTGTCTTTTGTCTTTTTCCGTGTCCGGCAATGGATCGCAACCCTCAGTGTTGCCCCCGCACCAGACCGGGGACCGGCAACGGGACCGCAACCCTCGGCGCTGCTCCCGCGCCTCGCTCAGCCAGTGAGCAGGAACCGGTCCGTATGTGGGAGCCGAACCCTCGGGCAGGAGCGCCGCCGCGCTTCCCAAGCGGTGCACTGTCCAGTGTGCCACCGGGCCGGCCCTACATTAATTCATTTTGAAAGAGTTAAATTTGTGAGTGTGGTTGTTATCTAGTAATGTTGGAAGAAATTTCTTTAGGAAGTTATTGAAAGTCCAAATAAAGAGCTTGCCTCTGGGGCAGAAGAGTAGGTTTTCTACTGAGTCTATCCTGGCTTCCAGTCTGTTGGCTTCTGCATGCAGTGTAAGGCATTGTTTTCTTCTGTAAAGACCTGAATAGGCCAGATTTGCTGGAGTGTTCCAGTGAGGTCATCTCCTAAAACTTTGAGATGGGCAGAAGGCAAATTCCCTAACATTTCCTCCCTGTGAGATCTGGATGGTCTTTCTGGAGCTGAGGGAGGCCTCTTGTTGACTCTGGCCTGAGAGAACTTTGGGGATGTAAAGATTTGAGGCCATACTTTAAATCAGTGTTGGAAAAATAACAGCATGTTGCCCTTTAGTAATAGTAGTAGTACTCAGGCCCTAATTACTACTTTTTTTTTTTTTTTTGTGCTGGCTAGTACTGGAATCCATTAACCTTGGTATCCTAATTATTTCTTAATCTTTTCAGTCCATCTATTTGATCTTTGCAGTACGTACCTTTTTAAGAAAGAACGGTTATGCTTTTGAGAATAATTAGTGGTATGTTATAAAATTAGTGTTTGTATCTTGTTGGAATACTGCCAGCTCTTATCAGTGGGGCTGCATTACATTATTTGGAAATAATTTCTTGATTAATTCCTCCTTCACCAATAAGTCTGCCTGATTTTCTACAGAAATATAGGAAAAATATTGCCACTTTGGTTGGGAGTGTTTATATGGGGAACGAGGTGGGCATTGTTGGCATGTTCTATATAGACTCAAGCCTTTGTGCTTTTAATCTCACTTGGAAAGAGGCCCAGAATTCAAAGCAGGAGGGCATTGAATGTTGCCAGCTTTGTTTGAGAAGCATTTCAATGTGACGATTATGTCTTGAGAAAACAAAAAATGCTACAATGGCAGAGATTGGGGGCTCATCTAGCCCAGCATTCTGTCTCTGACAGTGAGCACCAAAAGATGTTGTGGGAAAGCCTTCTTCATGCCAGCGGCCTCACGGGCTTTGTAATATTCCTCAGGATTTCTGGCTTCCTATAATAGTCCATGGTGGATATGTTATCCAGGAATTTTTTAAAAACCTTCCTTGAACCTATTCATATGTGCCAACTCTTAGGATGACAAATCCCAGAAGTCAGCAAACATTTGAATGCTGAGTTTATGCCTAGCATGGTAATAAGCATAGTAGAAGATAAAAACGATGTTTAGTACCTGATCCTTTCTCTTACTTGAGCATATACTTTTTGGGGGAGACAAGATTCAGTTGCAGGTGTAGAAAAAGGTAGGCATTGATATCAGATGTCACCTGGGGAACACCAGGCACACCACCAGTGGATCAAACTCACAGTAACAGAGCTTACAGAGACTAATGTCTAAAGCGCCTCGCTCATGGCTGAGCGGGAACCGGTCTGTATGTGGGATCTGAACCCTCGGGTGGGAGCGCCGCCGCGCTTCCCAAACGGGGCACTTATCCAGTGCGCCACCGGGCCGGCCCTTGAGCATATACTTTTTGGGGGAGACAAGATTCAGTTGCAGGTGTAGAAAAAGGTAGGCATTGATATCAGATGTCACCTGGGGAACACCAGGCACACCACCAGTGGATCAAACTCACAGTAACAGAGCTTACAGAGACTAATGTCTAAAAACAGTGTCATATTATTAATCTATGTTGAAAAGTACAACTATCAGACTCAACACTGAGTTCTTTCTCTCTGTACAAATCTAACAGAAAGCCAAATTGTAATCAGAAGGCTGATTAGTGAACATGGGGAACTTTAGTTTGTGATTGAGTCATTGAATGTGACAGCCCAGCACAGCCATTTTCACAATACCTAGAAAAAGACCATGTTTGTCTTTCTGAGGTATCCTGTTCTAAACCTGCTTGATCTTTTTCATGTGTTAATACATTCAGCCCTAACAGTTCAGCCCTGTCTTGAAAATGCTTTTGCATATCTCTGTACTGTCCGCGTTATATGCTGAAGAATTTAATATTTGAAGATAATTGTTGTTTCCTAGATATTTTGACAGGAGGAATCCATATTAAATATCTTGTACCTCATACGTATGCAGCAAACAATACAAATGATGTCATCTAGACAAAATGAGCCACAAAAACAAATCAGAAAAGAGAGGTCAGTGTGGGCTGAAAATGCTGAAAAAGGCATCTGTGTGTGGCACAGATGGGACTTGAATTCATGCTTGAAAAACTAGAACATTTTGGAAGAGAAGAGAAGAGAAGGCATGAAGTAGGAGTAAACTCAAAGGAGTAATGCTTTCACTTTTTGGTTGCCATCCTCCTTCTCAATGACACTCAGCATTTCGTTGACCTTTCTGCCAAAGAAGTACAGAAAGGGGCCAGCCTGTGGCTCACTCGGTAGAGTGCGGTGCTGATAACACCAAGGCCACGGGTTCGGATCCCATATAGGGATGGCCGGTTCGCTCACAGCCTGAGCGTGGTGCTGACAACACCAAGTCAAGGGTTAAGATCCCCTTACCGGTCATCTTTAAAAAAAAAAAAAACAAAGAAGTACAGAAAGCAGTATGGGGCAATGGAAAGCCTGGTAAATCCTGTCTCTTCTACTTAGGATCTATCATTGCAGTTCCTGGGTGGCAGTGTCCACATTTGTAAAGAAACAGTACCACCTCCCTTATGATTTTTGTTGTGGTTGTGAGGATTAAGTGAGAGAATATATGTGAACATTCCTAGTGTTTAGTAGGACTCAGTAAACGTTGGCAGAATCAAAATTGGGTTGATTTCTTTAGGAAGAAATTCATCCTGATTTACAGATTACCGAGTTACTTGGGATTCCCACAGTGGTTGATGGGGCCCTGTATAGAGTTAACAGCATGGCTTGCTTGCATAAAAGCTTCAATATACTGTGTTATGAACTTATGTGTTAATGCCCCTTGGGCTACTGTGGTTTTCCTTAAATGGTTCCATTCAGCCTTGAAAATCTTTACAAGGTTGTTGCCAAATATCTCAGTATTAACTAATCTAAACTAATCTAATTTTCTTTGTTGTAGGTGCGGAATGGCCACATCAAAAGAATCACTGATAACGACATCCAGTCCTTGGTGCTAGAGATTGAAGGGACAAATGTCAGGTATGTTGCTAACTCTGTTCTCTCAGGGACATTGTATACCAGGGAGACAGTACATCATAGAGGTATTAGTCAGACTGTTTGGTGTGAATCCAGCTCTGCTACTTAGAGCAGAGTTACCTAATACCCCAGGCCTTAGTTTCCTCATCTGTAAAATGGAGGTAATAACAGTACATCTTTCTTACAGGATTATTGTTAGGACTAAATAAGTGCATTTGTATGAAACATTTAGAATATATATAAAACACTACATGCTTAGCACATAGTAATCACTATGTAATTATTAGCTATATTATCAATATTAAATGAAAGTGTGAAGGTGGGGGAGGGGACAGTGTTGTACTGACCATCCGTGGCCAGTGTAGGTTTCAGTGTCACATGGTCTTAGTTTTGGTTTTCTATCATTTGATGTTTCTTTTGGACCAGACTTGCAGTCTTTTCTCACTAGAAGAACTTCCTAAGATCTACTGGTCTGACTTTGTTTTCATATATTTTATTGTTGATGTCTAATCTTGTGTTAAGCTTTTGTTTCTGAGTCCAGCATTTTTTT